GAGGCAATGCTGGGGCTCCTCGCAGCTTATTAGCCCATTAAAAGTGATACAGAATACCTATGAAGTCCAGTTTCTCCCATTAAAGCAGTACAGGAAAATTTGTAGCTTGTTGATTTTACAGTAATCTATTTTGCACTCTTACTAAACTGTGTCTGTTTGATAAGCGAGACTGGTGCTTTCCTCAATTTTTGAAAAGCCCTTTGGATTGTGTTTACAGAATGAAGGTTAAATACTAAGAAAAAGGAAGTGGTATACATTTCCTCAAGTAGTTTTTAATGAAAAGAAAATTATTAATAATGAATAGATGGGCCTTCTTGAAAGAAGAATTATGATTTTCAGAAATATGACTTAAAGGTGCTGGGAAAAATCTGTCATCTTTTGTTAACAAAAAAGCAAAAGGCTATTAACTTTGGTCATTTGGAACATTTAGTTTTGGATCCAAAATTTTATGAAAAACAGTTACTTTAAAGCTGTAGTTTGTTCTAAAGCTGTCTTATGTCAGGTCTAGAAATAGCAATACTGACCATTAGGCCATGAGACGGGGTGGGTTTTTTCCTCTTTTAGGTGGGAATAGCTGAAGAACAGGGTGCCTCCCTTTTCTAACCTAATCTGAACTCAAAATAACTTTTGTCTTGTTATAACAGCTCTTTTCTGAGTCACTGTATGAAAAAGAGACTGGAAGTATTGGATATTGTAGATCAAACACTTCAAAGCCAACTTTGACTTAGTTTTATGCATGCTTTAGAGTAGACTAATGTACAATAGTATCCAGGAAACTCAGCCAGTAATTCATAAGGGTCCAAAATGTTCTCCTCAGCATGAATCATAGCAGCATAAATGATAGGATTGGAGAAGATCCTTTAGGTCATCCAATTCAAAACCTGTGTATCTTCCTTTTCACTATCCCCACTAGGATTTCATCTGCCCTATCTCTGCAAACTTCCCATATCCCTGACTCAGCCACCTCCCTGGGTAGTTTCTTCCATTGCCTAATTATTTAACCTGAACATCTTTAAACCTTACAGCATCATGCTGAGTGTGAACAATATATGACTACAGAAAATGATTCTTTCTCCTCCCTACTGCCATCATGCTTAAATATCATCTCTCCCTTTAAATGTGTCATTGGGTTTTTTTGTTTTTTTTTTCTTCTAACTGCATGAATAATAATCCCAGGAAAGTTGGGGGTTTTCTGCTGTCTTTGGTGCTTCTGTAACTGTAACTGATTTTCTTTGAACTTGGTTTTCAAGCCTCAAAAGTACATTTTGATCTACAAATGAACTTTCTGTGACTCAATGGATATGTGTGTATTAAATCATGCTTTTGAAGAGGTGAATAACATGATTGAAGTATTCTGTGTCTTTGTTTATAGAAGCTGCTTTCTTGAGGGTGCTAATTGACAAATACATGGCATTTGAGGGATTTAAGTGACTTTCTTGGTGTCAAATATCCTCCATCTCATGTTACAAATCGGGATATTAATATAATCATGTATTCTGGCTCTGTTTTGAAAACTGAACTCCAAAAGCTCTTGGAGGTGCTTGGAGTTGCCTACTGCTGAGTTAAAACTTATCATGATCATTTCCAAAAGCAGCTTCGCTTCTGAGTTTGTAGCTGTGTTAATAAACAGAGACATAAACCTTTCCATATACATTTCTCTAAGTGTATGTGCTCAGACCAGTGTTGGTGTGATAGGATTTTTGGATGCTCTGTAAAACAGAGAGAACTTCATAATGGGGGATATGAAGATGAAAGGAAGCTTTTTTTTTCCTGATGAAATGAGGTAAAGAAGCCTTAATCTTCAGAATTTATATTTATACCTGGTATTTTTTAGGATCTGCCTAAGCTTGTTGGAATATGCTAATGAGATACCTCTCTGATGTTAATTATCTCATCAGCTACAATGTAGAATGTGCCAGTTACATCAATGTGACATTTATGTTTTTCTCTTAGATGACTAATAAAAGTTGCATGTCAGAAAAAATACTGGGTAGAGGTGGGAAGGCTGGTTATTGCAAGCAGTATTTTCCTGATTCTGCATTGCCTCCCATTTTGGAGTTGCACAATAAAAATAGCTGCAGTCTGTGCCTCACCTGTCAGCTCACCTCTCCCACAGTTACTCATGTAGTAGTTCTTTGATCCATGCAGAAGTATTCCAGGTTCCCTATAGCTGGAGCCTACAGGGCTGTTGTGCAAACTTGTGTGAAACCAGGGTAAATCCTTCTCTGTGACTTCAGTTCTGCCAGCCAGTAATTACAGTAAATGTGTTAGATTTAGTGGATCCATGGCTTTTCGTGAAAGTAACCATTCATGGTTCACTTTGGCACAGCAATTTGTAGAAATAGACACAAGGGTTACTTGTAAGAAGTTAATGTCAGGGAAGTAACAGATTTTGAAGGCAGTGTCTTGGACTCTGGGCACTATTTTTTGTCTCAAAGAATTTTTTTTGGTAAGTTTATAATTACACTTTAATTTTTAACAGGCCATGTTTTCAGCCTAACAAAGGAAAAAAAAATGCATTATGATATAGCTTTGAGAGGGTTTTTTTTTCATTGAGAGTTTTTTTTTCCCCCAGATATTTTTGTAAGCCTCCTTTCTTTAATTTCTGTTTTGTTATGCTTCTTAGAGGTCCAGTAGCCAGCCAGTCCTCAAATGTCAGGAGGCTGAGGGCACTGTGCAGTGGCAGTGTCATGGCTTAAATGTGCAACACCAATGCAGAGTTGGTAAATTCTTGGTCTCTGGTAAATCTGCAACCATTCTTTTTGGGTACAAAGAGCTGACCATAGTCCAAACTCCTTTTTTTCTGTTTCTCATTCAGATTTTGTGTGTGTCCAGCTTGTGGACATTCAGATTTTGTGTGTGTTCTCCTATGTGTATAGGAGCACGCAGCAGCCAGTTTCATAATTCTGGCACTATTTTCATTGACTATGGTGTGAAATCAAGATATTCTCAGGTACTTTTTTTAGGCAGATCTCCAAACAGCTCAACGAAGCTATGTAGTTAGGAACAGTGTTAACTATAGCTTTGCACTGGTTTCTACACTGCATTGAGCTACATGGTGAGTGTTTCACTGCCAGTGCACAACTTAAACACAGATACTTGCTGAGGAAAGCTCTGCAGAAGTAGCACAGTGGAAAAAGTTGAAGTTTGTTATTTCCATGGTGCATTTCAAGCGGTATCCCCTCTACCTTATATTTGTTAATCTCTTGATCCTAGAACAATGTTTCTTTCTCCTCCTCAATGTTTGTACCTCATCTTGGTTTCCTATAATCCACAAGTTTCCTTATCATGCTACCTACCTCCTTCCCCATGATCACTGATGAAACAAGATGGGACCTGCTGCTGGTCCTTTGGCATCCCAGCGTGGGCTGTGTGATGAGAGCTTTGAACAAAGGAATGGCCATTCGAGGGCTGACCTTTGGAACCCCAAGTCAGCTCTTAACATGAGACTTTTAATTGTCCTTAAAAAAAAGAGTGGCAACATCAGTAAGGGGAACTTCTCAGACCCTCAGGGCTTTGGGCTTCCAGCTGTTGCCGAAATGTTACTGCTTTAGTCTTTTTATCTCAAGGCTTGAGCTAACATTTGTTCAGTTTAGTACCATCACCCACGAAAACCACTGTAAATTCTAAAATCCCCAAGCACCAAAAACATTGGAAGTGTAAAATAAAAGCTGGAAAATAAATCTAGATTGTTTTGATCATGTGAAATTGCACAGATCTAAATGAAAGCACATGGATTTAATTTTATGTAGTTTGTTGGTGCTAAATTCTGTGTGAACATGATTGTAAAAGCAATTAGGCTGACGGGAGACTGGTGGCTTTGGTTTAGAACATTGGATGCTCACATTTTTATTCTGCTGACCTGCTGGATCATTTCATTGTATGTAGAGGGACTTTAGCCTTCTTCAGATAAGAAGGAAAAAAAGCATATCAAAACAAACCTAATAAAATCTGTGTGTTATTTTATTATTAGTCATATATAATTTGGAGATAGTGCCAATTTATTTTGGATTGCTTAAATTAATTAGAAAAGGATTTAAATAATTTTCAATCTAAACTAAGAGTGCATATGTAAGAAGCTTCTGGGTGGAATAACAACTTCTAATTTTAGTGATTCAAGTATGTGTGTGTAAAAATTTGTGTGATCATCCACTGTTTTCTTTCTTCCTAGATATTTGAAGCAACTTTCTATGAGTCCCTATCCCCTTTTCAAATTCTGTCAGGTTCATTATTGCTAAGATTATTATCCTATCTAAGATTGATTAATATCTTGAACTAATATTTGAAAATGGGAAACTCATTCTCTTGGCTTATAGCAGAAGTTACCTTCAATGTAAGAGTATGGCTATTTTCCTCTTGCCCAAGCTGATAGTCATATGTCTATACTACATATATATATATATATATATATATATATATATATGTTTCTTTCTTTCTTTCTTTCTTTCTTTCTTTCTTTCTTTCTTTCTTTCTTTCTTTCTTTCTTTCTTTCTTTCTTTCTTTCTATCTATCTATCTATCTATCTATCTATCTATCTATCTTTATACATATATATCTAAGTATATCCTTGTTAATGAGTGTATGCATTCAATTTTCTATTGTTTTGCAACTTGTATTGTCATTTTTTTCCCACAAAAAGGGACAGAATAAATGCAAGTAGTAAATTGGAGTAACTGTGTCTCAGATCATATGCCCAGTTGTTCTCTGTCATTTTTTCTAGTGCAAATGTAGTCCATGATTTTATAGTTTGAACTGTTATTGTCCATGATACGTATAGAAAAGCTGATGTGAAATTGCCTTTATTGTATTTTTTTTTTATTTTCTGAACTTGTGAGCACTTGAATTTGCAAGTTAAGCATTTTTATCCTAAGTGTTTTGCATGTAATAAATTGTTTCCTCCAGCTATAACCAAGGCTTTCACAAACTGATAGAATCAACAATATAGTGCATGTAGTTGCCAACTGCACTAAATTTTTAAGCATCTCGTTTTTGCTTTACAGGTCTGTCTGAGGATGCAGAAGAGGAAACAAAAAGCCATGAACTCTGATGACAACCCTCAGGAAAAAATTCTATCTGATGCCAGATGCATTTATAATGCAGCACTACCAATCCATTTTACTCTGCAGTGATTACAGCTTTCAGAAGGAGAGAACTGTGCTAATTTATATAAAAACAAAAAATTTCTGCTCTAATAATTTGGTTGGGTCTCCCTGCCAACTGCTATCATCCTTTCTGTGAGCAAAGTTTAAGCACTTACCCAACTGTGGTAGGGGTGTTTTGTTGTGTTTTGTGATATATCATCCCTTTCTAAGGATTCAGTTGATTGATCAAAGACTGTTTATACATAGTTAAAAGCAAACTTTGTTTCACGATATGTTTTGTCTTTTCAAAAGATATTCTGAACTATACCTCCCTTTGAGATTATATTAACATTTGTTATATCACAGTTTTGACAAAAGATAATTATCTCGTTTCCTCCTGTACTAACATTCATGATTCCAGACAGCTGAATTCACCACCAGGAGAAAAACTGGTAATCTATCAACTCTTTTCCACTCTCTCTCATTGCTTATACAGACTCCTGCTCTCTAGAGATATAGCGTAAAATATGGTTACTGGACATAAAGGGCAAACCCTTTTGCCATTAACTATGCCACTATGAATGGGAGTAAAGTTTACACTGTAAGTACCTTGAGCACAGCAACACATGGATCTTTTTATGGTTACCAGTGATTTCTGCTTTTCTTGTCAACCAGTCTGCTCTAGTTATGTCTAAGATTTTCAAAAGTAACTACCAACTTCTGAGTGCCTTCATTTTTATTAATCCAGTTGGAGGGTGCTTTGGGTGTTGTGTATTTTGAAAGTTCTGAGTATTTGCCTTCTCAAGGTCAGGCCCGTGCAAGGTGCCTGAAATACAACACCCAGCAACCGAGGCAAACTTGGCCTAGAATTTGGAAGAGTCAGGTTCATGTCTGGGTTTCTGAGAGTGAGTTGAGATATTACTAAAAAACACTTGGAACTGAAAATAAATGAGACCAGGATCAAGTGTATAAACAGGCATTTGAACAACTGTTGCTAGTTCGTACCAAAATACAAGTTGCAGTCTCTTGGATGGCAGATACAGAATGCACTGATAGCTGGAGTTTAGTTTGTGGTAGATGCAAGTGCATGAGCCATCTCCACATCCCCCACTGCTGTTGGTTTCCTCAACAGGGATTTACCAGCTCGTGTTCTAGCTGTAGTAAAGGCCCCTCCAACTCACTTATGAGCTGTTTCAAAAGAGTTTGTAATAGTTGCTGTGGTCAATGCTAGCTTGATCTATGGCTAATGAGGAGACATTATTTTTCAGAATGTCTTAAGCTATCAAGCTTCATCATCTCCATGTCTACTTTCAATTTCTTTACGTCCACCCACCCCAAAAAAAACCCCCAGCTTTGCAGCTCTTATGCATCTGCTGCTTAACCCTCTGGCCCTATTCTGGCTCAGTACACGATATAACTGTTTCAAGAAGCCTTTTTCAACATGTTAGCTATTAAATAGCTCAGTAGCCAAGGAACTGGGTAAGGCCTCTGATACCTCTAGGGCTGAAGTGAGCTGTAACTCCCAACAAAAATGACTCTGTCCCCCAGGAGATCTCAGATTTATCTACAAATTGTGGGGCCAGAAATCTTGCTTCTTTCCCAGGAAGGAAAAAATCCTACCCCCTGCTTGTTATGGAGTGATTCTGCTCTCTGAGTTTTCTTCACTTGGATCCCTCCCCCGTGGTGTTTTGTCAGGAGGGTGGTATCCAGCCCATTGTCAAGGTACCCTGCTGCGCTGTGAAAATTACACAATAAAATAATCTCCTGTAGTCTCTGTACACACCTCAGTGACCAAAAAAGTCCATGGAGAACTAATCAATTACTGTAGCTATTAGGCTTAAATGTTAACTATAGATCTCAAATCTTCTTTTGTCCTCTTGTCAGCGGCTACTAGGGAATCTTAAAAAATCAAGCACAGTTACTACAGAAAGCCCATACCATAATGGTGTAGAATCCTGGACCAAAGAATCCTAAATTATAGACATATAATGTAGCTGGAAAGTACACTGCTATGAGACTTCTGTGAAATATATTACTCTGTCATGATTCCCATTATTGAATGTGATCCCAGTGCTCAGAGCTGCCTGGCTTTGTTGGGACTTTAGTGTAAATGACAAGTAGGCACTCAGGTCAATTATATCATCCACTCTTATTTAAGTTATTTTCTGTCATTTTAAGATGTAATGTTCAGAAGCACTCTTATTTGCCTTTTCTGCTCCATGCTTTGCAAAATAAGGTCTTATGAGGATAGTTTTACAAAAAGGAGAAAATATGCTGGTAATAAAAGGGAGAGGGGAAAGGAAGAAAAAGGTAGAACTGTCTATCGTAGTAAAGTAGGACCTCTTTGTATTGTGCTAAATTGCAGTATTTGATAGTATCATCAAAATTTAAAAGTTGCATTGAATAAAAATTACTTACTTTCCCCCAATGCCAAATAGTCCATCTAATTCAGAGGAAGGAAGTAATTGAAATGGAGTCATTTATGCTGCAGCCTAAGAGGAAATATTGTAAAGTAATTCTTAGCAGTTCTCAAATGTAGTTTGAATTTTTAAGAAAGTTCTTTTTGGCTGGGAAAAAATCAGGCCAGTTACAGGAAGTTTGGAAGCTGGAGAGGTGTAAGGAATGTAAGGAAACATTGCTAGTTTGGGGGGACCATCTGTTTGGTTCTCATCAGTGATGTTTCTGAGGCTGAGAGAGGCACTGGTGGCCAGTCAAACTGTTTTGAGCAGGATTTTATAGTAATGCCTGGTCAGCTCTTCTGGGCAACTTAAATATGCAGCCTATCTTCACTTTTAGCTATTTGAATAGGATTTCATATGGCTAAGTGGCTCAAAGACTAAAATTAATTTTAAATTACAATTTTATTGAAATAAATCTGAAAGGAATTTTGTGACATTTTGAAAAGAATGCTGTGATTCATGGCATTTTTGTTATCTAGAACTTTGAAATACATTTTCTAAAAAAAGTCCTAACATAAAGCATATATTTTTCTGTTAAACAGGTAAATAATTCTAAAGTTTATTTTCTTGGTAGAAGTTTATTTTCAGAATGTTATTGTCCAGTGGCTTTTCCTTAATTTTGTTTTTCAGCCATTACATTTTAGAAAAACAGATTAAAACAATTACTACTCTGATGACCAAAATCTGGAGGTCTGGACGCTGCTCATCTTTTGGGCTTTGTACGCAATGCTAAGACTGTGGTTTCCAGCCCCAGATTCATTCTTCTGTCCAACTATTATTCAACTGTGACACAGAAAAACAGCATTTCTCTGCTTTCAAGGGGTTGGGCTTTCCTTTATAATGTCTTCTTCAGCATTTACTGTACAGAGAGAATTAGAGATAAATTTCAATATTCTTGTATTGCTTATAAAGAGTAATTTACTGCCATAAACTGAAATTTGTTGAGCAGAGATTGTATTTCTATGTGAAATTCTTCCAGCATTGGAAAAAAAATTTTAAAATTACAAGTATGCATCATATTGAAAAAATATCTTTCCTTCTTATCAGAATCTTCTGTTTATAAATAATTTACCAAAAAACAAACCAAACTGGTGAAAAAGTGCTGTAAAATATATGACATACTCCTGAAACCAAGCTTCTGTATCACTTCTTCATTTGAAATTAACCTTGAATTTCCCACAGCTTTGTTTGCTTCTTATATTGTTGCTTTCTTCATTTGCTCCTTTACAGCATGAGGTTGCTCTGGTATTTATGTGGTATCTTCATGTGCTGTTTGCAGGTGACTTAGCTCCTTTGCAGCTCAAAGGTAAAGTTTACACAGCATTATGCTGCTTCATGAGCCTTGATCTGAGGCCACATGCCCATAGGGCCAGGCTTATAATTAACAAATTCATCCAGGAAAGCTTATGAATCCATTGTTTCAATGAGAATTTATCTAATACTCTAGCAGACCAAGTTCAACGTGAGTTTGTTTTTTAGGTAACAATGAAAAAAGTTGCTTGTTTTGGAGTCTTGAACTTCCTCTCTAATTTTTTTTTTTTGTCCCCTGTCATGTAAATTATTGTAATAGTCAATAGTATCAGGAATGATTATTTCTGTCCTCCTTTGCAGGACAGCTGGTTGTTTGCTGCATAGAAGCTGCTAACCTGGGGAAATGTGCTTTTTTCCTGGAGACTAGCAGATCACAGCAGGGATAATTTGCACTTCTGTTTGCATTAAGTGTATGGCAAGTGCTGTAGTTAATGATGGGATGGAAGCATAACCCAGCTAATTGAATTGCCCTGGTCTTGTCTGACAAAGTGTCCTGACTGCTCTATGTTTACATCTGCCATATCAAGGAGTACAAACAATGAGACATGAACATAGATTTAAATTAGTATAATTATTGTTTTAAAACACTGTGGTATTTTCCAAGAGTTTAATGTCGTTGCAATCAGGAAAGGGAGTAGAATACCAATTTGTTTTCATGTGCACTTACTGTAGATTGATGTTTCTTTTACATATATTGCTATGTGTTTGTATTTACTATGTCTGTAAGAGGCATTCATGCTTTCAGATGAACCTGCTATATTGAAGATTTCAATATCCATTCTGGTGCTTTAAATGAAAGGATTCTTACATATCAGGTAAAAAATCATGAAAGTAAGCAGAAGCCCTGGAAGAGATCCCCACCCTCAGGCTACACCATGTAAATTGATGTTAACTCTGATGAGAGTGTTTTCCATTTGATAAAGCATCAACATATTGTATTGTTCATTTGTTTGCTAGCACCACATAAAAACTGTTCCTTTAGGAAATTATTTTCTGCAAAACCAGTTAATACTGTAGAACAAAATTATAACAGTGTTTGATAAGATATTTTCATTTGTCTTTATAAGCAGAATAGAGACTTGGAGGGCTTCCTAAGTGGGAGTGATCAGTGCCAATCATAGCTCGCCCTCCACCACAGCTCCAGCAGACTGACCGTATATGCAGATGTAGAAACAAGATAAAAGCTGTTCCAATTGTGTAAGCTGCTGCCTGGCCTGAAATCTTGAAGGGAGATCCTGACTCATCCTGACT